TTGCCCTCCTTGGTAAACTGACCCACCGTCGCAAACAGAGGACCACCGTCGGGCTTTCTGTCGGTGTGAGTATCATCCAACGCTGGCCTTCGTCGGCTGGTGGAGGTGGAGCAGGAAGAGGCCACGGTCAGGGCGGAGAAAGAGGAGGAGGAGCCCTGGCTCGGAATACCCAGGAATCCGTTCTGTGGCCGCAGTTTACTGACCTGCTGCTGTTGGTGCTCCTGCCGTTGTGTGGTTAAAGGAATTTGGCCTAGGCCTCCGGAATCGCCGGTGGTGATAGTCTGGTCACCGGGGTCCCGAATGCGATCATCCGCTTTTGGGCCTTGTAGATGAAGCGGGGCAGACAGTTGCAGCATGTTGGCGTATTCAAAGGGCTGCCCGACGGTCGAATTGTCAACCATGGTGCCACCCTCGTTATCGTAGGCAAATTCTAGGCTACGAAAATGAGAAAAGAGCATTTTTATTGGAAGATTAGCGTTTATTTGGCAGTGCGAGCATCAGAGTGCTCCAGTCTGTGAATAGCGGAATGTGAATTAGAAAAAAATTAAAAAGACAATAAAGGTACTCGAGGTAGTTGACGACATCCCGTGTTCGCTCAGCGTTTCGGCTTCTCGCTGCACTCTGTCACCAGAAACCATCAGTAAAGAGTGAAATCCAGCAAGAGAACAAATGCGATTGAAGTACTGATTTAGATAATTAAGCATCAGACCAACCAAAAATGCAGTTGCGTAAGGACAATAAAGAGGGTGGAGGGTATTGAGACGCATTGTAATAAACCAGACGACCGGGTTGCCGAATTGAAATATCTTCAGAGTGCAATACAACCTGCATAACTTCGTAAATTGGCGCGTGCGCAAACGGGTAAAAACAACTAAATCCAACCGGTGGCCAATTTTAGTGAGCGTTTCCGATGTCGAGTGTCTCGGAGGACGTCAGTCACTTTCTAACCCTTCTTGAATTTGGCATTGCACACAGACCTGATGCATTCGTCAGACGCCAGGTGATGAGGCCGAAAGACCCACTGCCACAACAGGCAAGGTCGAGAGTCGTTCATTGGATCTGGTGCAGTTGTGGGGAAAAACAACTGTCTTGGTAATTTA